ATCTGGGAGTTAAAGGGTTAATCAGATGAAAACACAAATCAATAGAGAGGCTGTTAACTCTCTTGGGAAAGTCTTGATAAATGCTGATAACATCTGATTTTCTGATAGATATTCCCTTATTTTTAAAACATTCTCATCCCATGTAAGTAACTAAACAACTTGTAGTGAGTCTAAAGTTAGTTTAACCCTTTAAGTCCCACCAGTGACCAAGACAAAATTTCTCCTTACACATCATTACAATATCAAGCAGACAAGTAATGAGAATAAAGAAAAGTATCAATTAGGGAATTATTGGTTGATCCAATTCCAAATTCTCCACACAAACATCACATGAATTGTATGGCAGACAGTAAAGAGAATTACTAATGAAATCTTGAGACTGAGTTAAAGGGTTAATAGAGTCTGAGGCTTACTCATGTAAAAGCTTTTCAATTTCTTTCTACTTCACTGTCACTTTTTCCAAATAATTCTAACTAACTTAGTCTTTATTGTGTCCTGTTTTGTAACTTTTCTTGATCAGCTAGAATAAATACAATAAAAAAAATATGAAACTCTTACTAAATAAATCTTTTCCTATATTTGACAAAGGTTGGGCTTTTAAAATCAGTTGCAAACTCAATGAAAACCAATCTCATCAAAATCAATCTAAAATGATAAATTTTGAACAAATACCTAATTGTGTAGCCAATCAAGTGATCTGTATGTGGAAGGACAAACAATGATTTGGCTGACAGGTCACATGCACTGCACAATGTTGCTGCCCTCTCTAGTGCTTGTAAATCATCACCTGTGATTCAATATAATAGCAAAAATTTCCTCCATGAAGGGTACTCAAATCTTTGGATACAGGAACTAATATGAAATAACATATTTTTTTTCTGAAGCATGTCAACAGGCTAGAATCTTAAATTCTTGACTTTGATTGGCTAATTGTACTCTAGTCACTGGTCCAGCTTGTTAAAATACAGTTTTACAATCATGTTTTTCTATGTGGGAAGAAACTGTGCCCTTGACCTTGATTACAGACACCACTCTTGGGTCATACTCAACACTTTGGGTGCAGTTTTTCCCCATTTTCCAGCCCATGCCTAGCTCAATAAATGACATGTAACTCTCATTGTAATGCCTCTTGCAGATTTTTAAGATAGACCTGGCAGTCACTTATGGTTTGACGTTAGCATGAAAACACTAAACATGGATCTAAAACTCTCTACTTAATAACATCATCTTCTGACTTCTATGTATTTATTGATGTTTACCTGGAGGAAGAGGAGCATTCTTTTGGATAAGAACCACAGCAACCTTAGTGTTCTGGTCTTGAAGGCTGGTCCTGCTCAGAAATGAAAAGATTGCTTTGAATGGTTTAATGTACAGGATTGAAGTTATAGAATACAAAATTATTCATTGTACTGGGTATGTTTTTTTGCATTTGATGAGCTGATAAGTTTGAAAGTAACAACTTCAAAAGTTGTAATGTTCTTATTATAACTTACAAGTATCTGATTGTCACTTGGTAAAGAAGGAGGTTTCCAGAGTGTCAAGAGCACTTACTGTTGTTATGACAAACGTATTTCATGGTTGTTATTTGAATAGCACTCTAAATCACAGGAATTGTTAATTAAGCTGATGATTGGACAAAAGTCTTTTTCTTTTGTTTATTAAACAATTGTTTTTTGCTCAAATTTATGTGTTAGTTTGATATATTATTCTGTGTGTGTATCCATTAGAGAGCGTGGAATAAAGTTTCTGAGTTGTACAATGTCATAAAAATCAATATATACAATGGAACCCTCTTGTCTAAAAATCAAACCACACTTGTCATATTACTTAAAAATTTTCAGTCATGTCATTAGTGCTAATTAAAGTTCACTGTTATAGAGGAGTAAGATAACATTCTCACTCTCTTGTTATTACCTGACTCTTTCTAGTTTTGAAGCACATTCAGTTTGCCTGTCTTTCCACTGAACGTCATCCCAATCCAACTCATAAAACATGACCACCACAGCAGGAGAGAGATAAAGATGTTTGTGCATCCATTTTGTCTTCAAGATACCCTTTGGTATGTACCACTCATAGGTAGACCGCTACAAGGAAACAAGACTCAGTGATAAAAAGCCAGCATATACTCGCATAAGCAGAGGTCTGAGTAACTCTGGTTACAGGAGGCCTACTGCTTCTGTGAGGTCTTACATTCCTATGGCTATCTGCTAAGATTTTCAATGTTAGTGACCCCACTCATGGCTGTGTCTGCCCTCACTTATGGAAAATGTTACTGAGACCCCATGCACACCTACAAAGATAAAGGTTCTCTTAACACTTCAAATCCCACGAGTGACAGGGACAGAACTTACTTCTAAAATTTCAATGCAATATCAAGCAGACAAGTGATGAGAAAAAAGAAAAAAGAATAAATTAGAGGATCATTAGTTGATCCAATTCCAGATTCTCTGAACTAACATCCTAAGAATTGTACGCCAGACAGTACAGAGAATTACTAAGGAAATCTTTGGAGGGAAAGGTTTGAGAGAGTCAGAACTCAAGGAAGCAAGAGAATGCTTCCTTGGGAAAAAAACCCAGGAGTACAATTGATTTGTGATTAACTCTTTTGATGATTTTGTGGAAATCACTCATAGAACTTTCTTTATAAAATTGTATAAGAAAAATGAAACAGTGGTAGCTTCCTATATGCAGACACCCTTGCTGTATGAAAATAGTGTCCATTTAACCCTTTAGCATCTAATTTCTCCTTGTTATACAACCCCAGAATCAAACATTAAGCTAAGGTCATGAGAATAAAGGAAATGATCACCAACTACAGTTCTTGATTGTTACCTTAGGAAAGTATTGGGAAAAGTATGGAGAATATTCATACTGATGTTCGGGTTTAAAGGGTGAGCTTCCACTGTACTGAAAGAGCTTAAATGTAACCAAAATAAGAAGAATTTCACGTAATCAAAGGATTTAAGAGTAACTACACTTAAAAGCGATAGGAAAGCTCACCTTTGATTTTGCTTTGGGAAATTCGTGATCAATTGGTAAAAGTCTGAAGGATAGTGGAACTCTCTCAGGATGCCTGTTCACAGAAAAAGACTCCCAGATAGCTTTGTGCAAAGGTTTCTGATTAATATCAAGTCCCATAAGAGCTGTGAGGCCCAAAGGACGGGTCGCCAGTTCTGTCGGAAATTCGCTGGCTGCCGCCATCTTTGTTTAGGCTAGAAATGTAACCTGGCCGGCTGAAACGTTGACCGGTAGTGACTGGAACGGAAATATATATGGACTCAGATTTTTTTAGCAGTAGTGGTGAATGGCTATCAGCGATTAAGTCGTTTTGCTTAAGGGTCGTTTCTTTAACGACCAGTTGTTAGCTATAAAAGCGTCTTAGGTCGTTTCGCCAACGTTTTAGGTTATTTCACCAACATCTTTGGTGCTTTCAGCCACTGGCGCTTTCTTTCAAATATTTCAAAGCCAATCAACTTTAAACCAGCTTATACCTCGATACCATGGGTCGAACGAGAATTTTCCGCATGGCACGTGCTGTGCGTTTCACTCAGTTTGGTCTCATTCACCGTGGACGAATGAAAACCTCCAAATTTATCCCTTACTTTGTATCGAAATGACTTGAGTTGTGTCAAATCGATGGTTCTGCGCGTATCTTATCGACTTTGTCGATAAGTATCGAATCGACTTAAGCTTGGCTTGAATCGAATCGCTTTAGATGTTTTTATGGGTAATTGACGATCACTGCCACCAAAGCTCGGACGGGCTGGATAACTTTCCAAACGAGCCAACTCTCAAGCGTACAGAAAATATCCCCGGCCTCGCATAGTTTGCCAAGTCCCCTAGACGAAAGGAAATTTGATTACTCTTTCTTTTACCACTCTCAAAACCTGTTTTTTAAATCATTTTTATTATCTTTTTACTCTTGGACAACTTTTTCTCGATAACTCGGTTACCACCGGAAGGAATGCGTGATTTATGATTTCCTCATGTTGTCCGGCGTTCACACTCTCGTTCTTTCTTACGTGATATGTACTTGTAAGACCTGATATGGGCTCGATACAGTTTTCCCGTATTATATGAGTGATTCATGACCTACGATAACCGCTAAATCTTGTATCAGTGTTGTATTTCCGAGGTGTCAAAGACATTGATGAGAGATCAAACATGAATAGCAAACCATCCTCGTTCATTACTTATGCCGCTAATTGTCTGGGGTGGCTAAGTTATGGGAAAAAATTGTGGCCGAGGCAATAAGCAGCTGGGTACGAAAGAGCCAGCTGCGAAAAACGTCGCCGAAGGGGAGGCGGGGGTGAAAATTTCTTGAAAGTTGCAGGTTCTGATTCTCTTTGAAAATGCCCCAAATCTAAGCAACAAATATTTTAATCCTTACAACTTGGTATGAATATCTCCATAAAGCTAAAATGAAATGTTAATCAACGCATTTGTGATGACTTTATGTTAAGCGCTATAAAAGTTCTATGAATTCACAGTAGTTCTCATTATGTTATTGCCCAATCATGACCCTTCTTCTATGTTCGCTTGGAAAATTCGTTTACGTCACCCGTAAATTATGGTATTCCTTTGTGGTGCACCCTCTCCCAGGAGAAATCCAGGATTGTCCCTGTCTTCAATACCTGCCAAGTACTATTGTTTCTCAAAAGAGTCTTAATTGAAACGATTCACGTAATTATCATAAATCGAGTACCTATTCAGTTAGCGAGACGATTTTTATCGAGTTAATTCTCCCCGTTTTACTGCGACCGATCCAAGTACGCTTTGCCTGTGTAACACTGGGGAAACGATACATTACTATTAGATGCTGCACATGCCAGTGAGATATATCACAGCATGGAATGTTCCTGTTCTGTTCTGCATTTGAAGACCTCTTTGAAGTGACCAGCAGGCCAAGCTTAACGCGTTTGCAGTTTAAGTAACGAGTCTAAAGTCGTGTCGTAAGGAACACTGAAAAGTGTTTGTCTTTTGTCGAGCACTTTCACATGATGAGAGGACCAGAAGTGGTTTTGTTTGTGAGTGTGATCTTCGAGCTTGGGTGAGTGTCAATAGAAATGATGTGATTTAAAATGGAAAACATTCCATCGCGCATGCAAAATGCCTATTGTTCTCGAGACATTTACTTGCAGTAGCGAAAAAATTCTAGATCCGTAATAGAAGCGGCGAGGCGTACACGAGATGGTTTTAATTGGTCGTGATTTTGTGCCCCTTCCCTCGGGGAATAATGGCATAGCTCATTAACTTATCAGGGCTGGGTTAAGAGACAAAGGAATAAAGGGGGTAAGTTTCTAAAGAAAATGTGTGCTACGTCGGTGGGAGAGTGTAACAGGGTAATTACGTATTATCAATTGACTTGAGAACGTAAATTGGCCACCGTAAAGAGTTTAAAAGCTGACATTTCGAGCGTTAGCCCTTCGTGCAAATTTATCTTTCAAATCGGCACTCTTAATCCCCGCGGTATCAACGAGCGATTTTCATTCAACTAATTTTTTTGTAAAGTTGTTTTCCCGTCACCACATTCCCACTAATATAGCGTAGCTCCATTTTCTGCACAAACATTTTTTAAACCCATACACAATCCACAGTTCCTCCAATCCCTCTGACGAAGGGCTAACGCTCGAAACGTCAGCTTTTAAACTCTTTATGGTGGCCAATTTACGTTATGAACTCAGTTGATAATGCTAAATTACCCTGCTAAGAGACAAAGGCCGCGCAAAAGTTATTCTTTGTGCTATTGTTTCGTCTTATCACACATCTACCCGATGATTTTTAAAGCTGGCTATTCAATGTACTTAAGCTTTCCAAAGGCGGTTCGCGCATGAATTTCTGCCAAAGGCAATTGCATGCCAAAATCTTGTTGAAAATTGTGAAATCAACAAATATATCACGTCATTGCAATTTTTGCCAACAATTTTTCCCAGCTCCGAATCTGATTATCCGAAGAGTTTATTCGCTCGATTTCTTAGAAAACGCTTCAGGCGTGTAACTTAAGGTTTCTCCAAATCATTTTCCGTTTATGGAACCTGGAACATGCAAGTGAAAGCTTGATCCAAAGTTTTGTTGTTTTTGCCAGCAACTATTAAACTCACCTGTACTCTTTTTGTTATCAGAGTTGTTTTCCTTTTCGTTAAATTCAGGTCGAGTGAAACATCGGCAAAGTATTTGTACGCCCGTTGGTTCTCGTGCGAATCTTGTTTTCGTGAAAAATCCTTGGGTTTACCGAGTTCGGTTGATGCGTAAGATATGGTAATTGCTTTGTTTGGCCAAACGACGAATCCTAATGCAATGTTGATTTATTTTTTTTAAGGATGGGGATAAGTTCTACCCGAAAGGCATTTGGTAGAGAAAGCACGGCACAGAACATATTTTTGCGACGCGAGGGAGAGCGGCAATACGTTATCAAAGAGAAATCGAGTGAAGTCGATGATGGAGAGTTTTTGCTACTACGTCCAAACTATTTAGCGTCGGAACCAGAGAACATACCCGCTGGAATGACAAACGTGAAGCATCCTGGCAGATTCTTAACTGCTGCTGTTGGGGATGGAATCTCGGACGACACGTCTGCCATTCAGGCCATCGTTAATCACGCTGCAAGTTCCAAAAATAATAAGGTATTCTTCCCTCGAGGTGAATACCTAGTAAGCAGTAATATCGCCATCCCTGGCCCGGTGGAACTTCACGGAACACAGAGCGGTATCGCAGTTATCAAGTCCTCGACTCCTTATGTTTTTCAAGTTTACAATGCTTCACCAGTGAAATCGGTTTCATTGAATAATGTGTACTTCGACGGAATTCGTGTGAATTTTGACGGTGGAGTCAATCGAGAAGTCCCTGGACCAACAGCTATGAGTAACGTTACCATAAACAGCTGTGTATTCTTTTCATCCGGAAGGCCAACTCCGAGAAACGCTGAGAGGGAGCAGTTGGAAATGATGGACCTTAGAAACAGTAATGTGTACAGAAACATCTTTTTGCGCGATTCTAATGCGTATGGAGTTGCTTCAAAATTTACCTTCACTGTGGGTGTAGAGGTGAGAGAAAACATATGTGGGCTGGATTTAGGCAAGATAGGCTGGTTAGCCACCAAAGTTGAGCCAGCATGGTACTGGCGAGATCAAAAACAAAAATTAGAATTCCTTATGACTCATTACAATCTGGAATCTGATCAAGGCTTCTTTCAAAGTTGTTGTTATGAAGAGTGCGACGAAAGGATGAGAATCGTGAAAAATATCTTCAACGGAAGCCCAAACACAGGTCGTTTCCGAGACCACGTGATGTACCTCAAAGGCTTCAATATGATGGAAGTTGTAAGTAATTACGTCAGAGGCTGGCCAGCGGATTATTCAGGGGGCATTAAAGCTCGAAATGGAAAAAATCTATTGGTTGCCCGTAATTACCTCGACGACACAGGTATTTTTTTGTATACTCACAGAACAATCAATCCATGTCTCTTTAATGGTTTGAAGAACGTTGTCATCTACAGAAATCACATCGTGCAACGAACCAATCCTGGTCATCTCACAAGTGGTATCTATTATTACGAGCCCCATGATATTGGGATAGATTGGAACATCACTTACTCCGCTAATGTATTTGAGATCGTTGGAGTAAGCGACCCCACTAATTACATATGTATCTGGCTGACCAATGGCGATCTTTCTCAACATCACGTGCTCCAAGACAACGTCTATTATGGTACCAAAATGCCTGTGAAGCTGTATGCTGACGACAGTACTCCATTGCATGAAACAGAGAAAAACAACGATAGTATTACAAATTGGTACAACTATCCACTGTACAAGCTAAACATTCCCCCTTATTAGACTGTGCTAAATAACATCTATTGTTATTTGATTATCGAACTTTTATTTGCATCGGTGATCGAAGAATTATCCTTTTTAAGATTACAGCGCTCCAGAAGGATTGGAGCGAGTGATGAAAGAATCAGTTTTTTCTAATTAAAATCAAAGTGTTCAGTTTAATTATAATCAAAGATGGAGCCGCTCTAAGTTAGGAACTTGCGCGAGCGGATATTTTTACCCGATTACTAAAGAACTTCAAGTTGGGGGTAACGTAACTTAAAGTTTGAGGTGACGCAACCATGTTTCGAGGCGACGGAACTTGGGGCGACCATCCAGGAGGGCAATTTGTCTCGTACCCAGGCCTTGTGCGGCCGGCCAAGCCTTTATATCAGTTACACGGTGGGTACGAGATTAGGGAACGACATCACCTGTTACACCTGTTACCTATCAAATACTATTTTATCTTCAAAATTTTAATTTCTTGAAAGGCACAAGAAAGTTCAATTGTGTGCAAGTGAAGAGAAAAGTGAATTTTTCTTTAACAAAAGGTATACTGGGGCACTTCAGTACGACATAAGGGGGGTCGGGAGGGTGGTAGCGAGCAGCCGATTGAATGACTGATTGATAACTTTATTTATCCACAGAAAAGAACTCCTTCAACTTGATTTATAAGTAAAATATCTAATTCTGTTTGGCTATTCTATCAAATAAAGCAAGATAAATTCTGTCATGCCTGAGGCTGCTTTGCACATCAACATGGATGTTGCTACTAGCCTTTGGTGATTTGATGATTAAGAGTGTGTCCACGAAAGCACCAGGCAGTCTTGCTACGTGCCATCTCACTGATTCCAATGAAACTTTGCCAGTTTCAAGGGTCTACCCCAAAACTCAAAAAGACAAACTGGTTTCTGTTTTGTTTTTTTCCGGGGTGAAATGGACCACCCTCCCCCTCCCTGCATTTATCTCCCACGAAACGCGTGGGAGATAAATAAAAGTTTTTACCTTCTCAGTTTGTTCCGTCAAAAACGCTTTTAATGTGAAGTCACGTCGACCTCGACAGAAAAGTTAGGCTCACCCTGTCAGAATCAACAGTTTGATAACGTAAATATCTAATAAGGTACATCATTGCGCTTTGATCACAGTAATGAAAAAATTTGCATTTGCTCACGCTCGCCACATTTATTCTTTGGAAAGTTATTTTACGGGAGGGCAATGTCACTTAGCTTGGCCTGTCTTGACTCTGACTGACGAAAATTGCCGACGATGCGGCGAGGTGAGCCCCATGAAATTATTGTCAAATGTTTTAAAAACTTTTTCTACCACAACAGAAACAAAAGCTGGTCGCTTACAAAATTTCAAAATGACTTCTAAATTTTGCTAAATCTTAATTTTCTCGTACAGGGCCAACGCACCTTCAATGGGTCTTTTATTTGATGTTTTACTTCTATGTAAAGATTAGTCTCTATAGCACCCAAATGACTCAACATCGCGAGGTCGGTTAATCAGGATTCTGAGAACTGTCTTCCGTATTGACCGTACACGATACGAAGGGGTCGGTGGTTTGAAACATAGCTCACGGAAAGGTTTCCAAACAAACGCAGCAAGAATTCATCTCTTTAATTTCCTTTTTGAAGCAGAGCGAAGTGGAGGAGGGAGAGGGGTGGGACGTGTAGGTTGGGGTAGGAATGAGAATTCCTCATGCGCACATGCGTGGACCGCATACAGACACTCCTACCACTTGCATCATTTATCCCACCACCTTGCCGCCTTAACAATGAACAACAGTGCTATCTGTTTTACTCTGTAACCTGGTTAAAACAAACGCTCACGATATTTTCTAAGATTTCTCTCAAGCTGTCTTTTATTTTAGCGTCTTTGAAATTACTACATAATCCCTTTAGAAACTTTGCCAAAAATTGTATAAAGTGTGCTAAAAAACAAGAATATTTTGATTCCCTAAACAACATTTTGACAATGACCTGACTTAAAAACAATTAAATCACTATGCAAACATACTTTAACTCAAACATTACAATGCCTAAGTGACTTGTTGAACCAGTTTCAAAATATTGCTGCCGTCATTTTTCCACTTGATACTGATTAAGTTCTTGACCTTGAAAGCTTTTTCCATGGTTCTATTTGGAAATCCATGAATTTTTTTCCAATCTTTTAAGCACTCAGAAGTAGTACTGGAACTGACCAAAAGAAAAGCTTTTCGTAAAGATTTTAAATAAAAAAATTTAGGATTCTGTTAACGAAACCTATAACAAAAGGCTTTGTAAGAAAACCCTGTAAGACTTAACTGGTTCGTTTTTGATGCTTAAACTACTGTTTTAACTTTGCTGATTTCACTTTACTTAAGAGCCCTAAGTCAATAATGTTTCGTGCTAATTATATCGGCCGGATAAGACAATTTTTGTGCAGAAAAAATATTCTCGGATACGTAACCAATACCTCCTTCTGAGAAGATCGGAAAAGAGAATGTAAAAAATTGAAATTAATGTCCTTAATTTGAGGTTGCCCTTTCCTTAATTACACAATAAAATAACGGATAGAGTATTTTCTCTACTTATTATATTTGGTTATCCGTCGAAAAGTCTCTAAGGTCTGTTTCCTTCGAGCTATTCTCATCTTCTTTCCTGTAACAAACGTAAAAAAAAAAATTATAAATAACTTAATCAACATTTCTTAAATAAAGCAAATACAGTTCTACCAGGCGTAATACGTAGGCAAATGTACACTTGCATCTGATTGGCAGAGAGGCCCTTTCGAGATTCTATATTTTACACCCAACTGGAAGAATAAATTGTTACTTTTTGAAAGAAACAAAAAAAAGGGTATAAAACCAACTTTGATTTTCAAGGTGACAAAGGATCACCGCCGACAGTCAGCGACCAGTAAGTCAAAGCCACCTTCACATCTAATTTAACTTTAATTTATGAAATACCTGTCCTCACCGAGTCTTACCTCTGCTTGCCAAACTCGAGCCTCACATCATCTCCAATCAGCGTAAACGAAGCCCACTCAGACACTTTGGTAAAGCCGTTTTTTCTCATCCACTTCATGGCCTGATGAAGGGATTCACCGGCACTTTCTCCTTCAACAAGGTGTTTGTAGAACCGACTCATCAGCTGCTCTGTTGCTGAGTCTGAAATGGTCCATAGCGCAACCAACACAGAGCGAGCACCGGATCCTAAGAACGCGCGGGCAATTCCTATAACTTCCTCGGCTCTCATCTGTCCACTTCCACTGTGAGAGCAGCTAAGCACCACCAGTTTAGCTCTGATTTTTACTCGTGAGACATCAGCCATCGTCAACATGTAAGCTTCCTGTGGTAGGATAGCGTTTCGACCGTTAGGAGCAGGAATGGGAGAGAGGGCAATTTCTCCCCTCTCGGCGTTACAATGGGCAGCAAAATGTATCAGGCTCACTGAACTTATCCGCTCAAGTACCGCCTGTTTCGTTGCTTTCTCGTCTACCAGAGGCGGAACACCCACCAATCGTCCGACCATCTCCGCTTCCTTTCTTGCACCTGGCAATGGCAGCAGCCAATCAACCTTGGGATTGCCGATTATCAAGGCACCAGTGTTGCTGTGATAATCCTCTGGACTATCTTGAATGATCTTGAGTGTTGTCAAAGAAGGAATGACACGGATCCTATGAGTCTCCGACAGGTATTCGGCCCCCTCCTTTTCACGGAGAGCAGCAAACGGAACTTGGTACAAACAGCGGTCAGGGACGATTATGACTTCAGGCTCCTCAAGCAAATCATAAACGGGGGCAATAAACATTTTGTAACACAAAGATAGACTTGAAATGACTCCTTCGTTCTTGTCCTCGTGTTCCTCCACGAGTCGCAATCTTGCTGAGCTCTTTTGCCCGAGGGAGAGAGGTTGCAAACAATCTGCCAAAAATTTACTTAAAGGCAAATCTTTGGGCAACCCAGCCTGAACTAGATTCTCTTCCACAGATATTCTTTTAAAGTGAAGGACTCCACTTGTTTTCAAGATCCACAAATGCAAATCATTTTGAAAATAAGAAATGTACAGACAAGTACAGTTGTCTTCCTTTCTAGAGATGTCTTCAATGCCAAACCAAGATTGTGGATTAGCAGAGATGTGCGTTTCAACCGAGTACTTCTCTGTCATCAAGTCTGATAGGCCTCTGGCTCGAACCAACTCCTCAACGTAAAGAGCATCCCGAGAATTTCCGGTGGCACAAAGCAACTTAGAAAGCAGCTTGTGGGTAAATGTTCCTGAGTCCTCCAGAAATGATGTTCTGAACTGATCATTGGCGCCCAAGAAAGATCTCAGCTCCTCATACTTTTCAATGCACAGGTGAAGACACAAAAGGGAGTCTTTGAGTTTATTTTGAAATAAATACAAAATAGCGTGCTCTTGAAGGATTTGGAACTCTTTTCTTCTGTCTCCAATATCTCTAGATATGGATAAAGCTTTCTCCAAGCATACTTCCGAAGCTTCATAATCTCCAACAGTTCTAGACACAACTCCAAGGTTTGCAAGATCTGCTGCCTCCCCTTCCTTATCACCAATTTCAGTTCTGATAACGAGCGCTTTGTGGAGATGCTCTTTAGCCTTGTCGTATTGCCCGAGCGACTGAAACACAGTTCCTAGGTTTCCATAACATGATGCTTCTCCTCTTCTGTCGCCAATTTCAGTTGTGATGACAAGCGCTTTTTGGAGATACTCTTTAGCCTTGTCGTATTGCCCGAGCGACTGAAACACAGTTCCTAGGTTTCCATAACATGATGCTTTTCCTCTTCTGTCGCCAATTTCAGTTCTGATGGCGAGGGCTTCTTGGAGATACTCCTTAGCCTTGTCGTATTGCCCGAGCGACTGAAACACAGTTCCTAGGTTTCCGTAGTCAGTTGCCTCTCCTTCTCTGTCGCCAATTTTAGTTCTGATGACAAGCGCTTTTTGGAGATACTCGTTAGCCATGTCGTATTGCCCGAGCGACTGAAACACAGTTCCTAGGTTTCCATTACATGATGCTTCTCCTCTTCTGTCGCCAATTTCAGTTGTGATGACAAGCGCTTTTTGGAGATACTCTTTAGCCTTGTCGTATTGCCCGAGCGACTGAAACACAGTTCCTAGGTTTCCATAACATGATGCTTCTCCTCTTCTGTCGCCAATTTCAGTTCTGATGGCGAGGGCTTTTTGGAGATACTCTTTAGCCTTGTCGTATTGCCCGAGCGACTGAAATACAGTTCCTAGGTTTCCATAACATGATGCTTTTCCTCTTCTGTCGCCAATTTCAGTTGTGATGACAAGCGCTTTTTGGAGATACTCTTTAGCCTTGTCGTATTGCCCGAGCGACTGAAACACAGTTCCTAGGTTTCCGTAGTCAGTTGCCTCTCCTTCTCTGTCGCCAATTTCAGTTCTGATGGCGAGGGCTTCTTGGAGATACTCTTTAGCCTTGTCGTATTGCCCGAGCGACTGAAACACAGTACCAAGATTTCCGTAGTCAGTTGCTTCTCCTTCCCTGTCGCCAATTTTAGCTCTGGTGACGAGCGCTTTTTGGAGATACTCGTTAGCCATGTCATAATGCCCGAGCGACTGAAATACAATTCCTAGGTTTCCATAACATGATGCTTCTCCTCTTCTGTCGCCAATTTCAGTTGTGATGACAAGCGCTTTTTGGAGATACTCTTTAGCCTTGTCGTATTGCCCGAGCGACTGAAATACAGTTCCTAGGTTTCCATAACATGATGCTTTTCCTCTTCTGTCGCCAATTTCAGTTCTGATGACAAGCGCTTTTTGGAGATACTCTTTAGCCTTGTCGTATTGCCCGAGCGACTGAAACACAGTTCCTAGGTTTCCATAACATGATGCTTCTCCTCTTCTGTCGCCAATTTCAGTTCTGATGGCGAGGGCTTCTTGGAGATACTCTTTAGCCTTGTCGTATTGCCCGAGCGACTGAAACACAGTACCAAGATTTCCGTAGTCAGTTGCTTCTCCTTCCCTAATTTTAGTCGCCAATTTTAGCTCTGCCCGAGCGACTGAAATACAATTCCCAGGTTTCCATAACATGATGCTTCTCCTCTTCTGTCGCCAATTTCACTGATGACAAGCGCTTTTTGGAGATACTCGTTAGCCATGTCATATTGCCCGAGCGACTGAAACACATTTCCTAGGTTTCCATAACATGATGCTTCTCCTCTTCTGTCGCCAATTTCAGTTGTGATGACAAGCGCTTTTTGGAGATACTCTTTGGTCTTGTCATATTGCCCGAGAGAATGAAACACAGTTCCTAGGTTTCTGTAGTCAGTTGCCTCTCCTTCCCTGTCGCCAATTTTAGTTCTGATGACAAGTGCTTTTTGGAGATACTCTTTAGCCTTGTCGTATTGCCCGAGCGACTGAAACACAGTTCCTAAGTTTCCATAACATGATGCTTCTCCTCTTCTGTCGCCAATTTCAGTTCTGATGACGAGCGCTTTTTGGAGATACTCTATAGCCTTGTCGCATTGCCCGAGCGAGTGAAACACAGTTCCCAGGTTTCCATAGCATGATGCCTCTCCTTTTCTGTCGCCAATTTCAGATTTGATGACAAGCGCTTTTCGGAGATTCTCTATAGCCTTTTCGTATTGCCCGAGAGAGTGAAACACAGTTCCTAGGTTTCCATAGTCAGTTGCCTCTCCTTTTCTGTCGCCAATTTCAGTTCTGATGAGAAGCGCTTTTTTGAAATACTGTTTAGCCTTGTCGCATTCCCCGAGTAACTGAAGCAACGTTCCTAGGTTTTCGCAACAGGAAGCTTCTCCTTCTTTGTCGCCAATTTCGGTTGCTATGGCAAGGGCTCTCTCAACATGCTCCTTCGCTTTTAGGTTCTCGCCAAGTTTATGAAGCATAATTCCGAATCTTGCGCAGGCGCTTGCTTCGCCAATTTGTTCACCAGTTAATCTCTTGCTATTAACTGCTTTTACGTAAAGTTGTCTGGCATCTGTAAACCTGTTTTGACTCTCAACAATCTCTGCAAGAGCTAAGCTTATATCTCCTTCTCTTTCTAAGTCACCAGACTCGCTGTATAAGACAAGCAGTTTCCTTCCGTATCTTTCCGCACTTATGTAGTCAGAGATACGACGATAAGCCTTGAAAAGAAGTAAATTGAAGGCGCTGTAAAATTGTAGCAGTAGTGTTTTAAATTGGTCTTTGCTGTTTTGATCGGTGTTATTTAGCAAAATCAAACATTCGCTGCATATCTCAATGGCTTTCTGAATGCGATCTGAATTGAGCAGGAACAGGGCAACTAGAAAGGCGATGTTCATGAAAGCTATCATGGCTTCTGTCGTTAGATTTCCATTGCCATCCTCTCCTGTTATAAGGGAAACGTTATTTTAATAACAAAAGTTAACAGAATGACTCTGGATTCACGATAAGTCACTACAAACAGGAACCCATATATGAAGTTACCAAAACGGGCTGGAAACTTTTTGTAACGAGCTGAAAGTGTTAGAATTCATAATATCGAATTAAAACAAAAAATAATAAGTGAAGAAGACGCGTGGATAAGTACAACTGGAACACATCAACGGATCACATTCGGTGAAACTTGTTTCTCTCTTAAGAGGGTAAGCTATCTTTGCGCGACAATCGACCCCTTGTTTTCCGAAGACACGGTCACGGTCACGGTCACGGTGAACTTTTCATTTTTCTAGCGGGTGTGATTTGCGTGATCGAAGCCAAAAATACTGAAAAAAAAAAACTAAGTGACTGTATTTCGGTTTGGCACGTCACACTTTCTAACCGATGATGGATTTGAGCATCCAAAAATGAAACATCTTGCTCTGTTTAACGGGAAACGTCAGGCTTCAGTATTCATCTCTTTTGGACCGGTTGGATTTGCAACACGAGATCGATCAGATCGAGAGTACAACTAAAGCTTCTGTCTTTAAACAATAAGCTTCTTGTGGGTGGAAATTCACCCATTGTGCTCATAAACTTTTCATTTTCTTGCGGGTGTGATTTGCATCGAAGACAAAAATAGTAACTATTATAATAATAATAATAAAAAATAATAAAAAATTAAAAAAGAAAAAGGACGCAGTGGATCTGTAATTTGCTCGAAATTAACCACATCACTGGTGTTACCTTTGAAGGCGTTCATCCAGTGACTGAAATATGGCAACAAGAAAATTACATTAGAGAGAGAGTGAGGTAGCTTGACTCTCAGTAATAATCAATAGTTATTGCAAATAGTTATTCATATTTCTTTTGAGGAGGGGAGAGAGGTGGGGGAAATGGACTGAACTACAGTTACGTTGTAGGATCCCCGCATCCCGTAGGCACTCTCCTGAAAACTCCCAACGGCAATTCGCGCTGATTTAACATTTTTGTTTCCTCTTTTCCTCAGACAATTGCGAGAAACTTGCAACTAGAGGGCACTAGCACCGAGCGATTATGTGAAAGATGAAAATTATATATGACTAAGGTTCTCCCTTGTCTTCGAAAAATAGCAAAGAATTGCAAGCTTGACAAGCTTGCTTCCCGTTTAATTTAGTATTGATGTCAACATTACGTGATTTCTCGAGATTCGGAAAATTTCATTTTCCAAGTTTACACGGTCAAAGCCAAACAAGTCGCATTTGAGAACGATGGGCTCACTGTAATGGAAGGAGGGTCTCAATGGGGTGATGGCTTTTACGGCTAACGGCTAAAATTTTGGCCATTTAACGGCTGACAGATAACATTATTCCATGAGTTGTAGCAAAATATTGTTGTCGCAAGCTATTACCAAGTAACGAGCTCACTTATCAGATTAATGTCACTGAAAACGAATCTATTCTTAGCTGATGAGAATGATAAACAATTTGTGAGGCCACAAAGCTTTGCGACGAATTCATTTCACTCCGGTGCCAATCTTCGCACAACATGCCATGACTTAATAGTATCAGGAAAGGACAGGACAAATTAGTAATTAGCAATTGCCTTTGGAATTAAAAGGTTACTCATACCTCAAGTAACCGTAAAGTTAAAGCTTAAGTTACGGTAAAGTTATTCTAACAAAACAATACAAAATTATCAATGTCGCAGCTGATACTTCTGAAAGTGAAACGACAAAAACATTTTGCACTTTTCCCCTAAAAACATCTTGACTAACTTTAAAACCACATGATACTGTTCTGCACGTTTTTGACCGTATAAGAGATAGAGAAATGTTTTGGTTGTCATTTTACCAGTAACCTGATGACGTGATGGAAGTAAAAAGATTGCAATCTCCCTTCTCCCACATTTATAAAAGGATTTAATTATGAGTTTGTGAAATAGCAATGACAAAATATTTAGATTTCAAAGGGAATGTTGTTGGAGCTCATTTGAAAGCCTCACAATACTTCTCAACTAATTTAACGGCTGGGCTTCGTAAACTAATTACATCTGAAAAGTAAGCGCAGTGATCAGTTACACTTCCTCCGGTTCCTCACAGAGAACTATGACATCTTTCTTCGTGAGCACGCGGTCATAGACTGACCTCTCTTCTTATGCGAGACCTTAGTACTTTCACAAAAAGCGAACAAGGTCACGTGAATTACTAAAGAAAATTATGGACACTGGAAAACCACGAACTGTAACACTGCGAATATCCTCTGACAGTAGAAAAGGACAGTCCGCATTATAAATATGTCTTGATATAGGATTCATTTTAGTTTTTGGCCACGTGATTGTAGAAACCATCATTTTCTCAAATTAAACGATGCTGAACAATCTTAGCTAATGAGGTTGAAATATATTGTATAAAACCATAAAGGTTTGAAGAAAGCCATCAAACGGTGGAGATATGAAGCATCCGTTCTACGGAAAAGACGCTTATACTGTGTATGTAAAAACAGTGAATTTAAGAAAGTTTCAGTTTCTCTGAAAAAATTAAAACATCTCTCTTCGTGAGCGCGCAGCGTCATAACTTGTCTTCTTATGCGAGACTCTGGCGCTTTAACAGACAAAGAAACAGATTACGGCCTTAAGAAAAATATGTACCGCAGAACCTAGCCTGCAGAGCAGGCGTAATTTAGGCTAGCAAATGCTAAGTAATTTCATAACGAATATTATGGCCGCCATCTTTGATTTTAATGGCAGCGGAAGGCTGGGGAGAGAAAAAAATTTGTACCAAGGGGGCGGTCGACGGTCAAAAATAAGGAGAGGGGTGGGGGTAGGTAGGGGAGTGAAGAGTAGGGGGGTAGGGGGCGGGGGAGGGGAGGAAAGACTAAAAAAAAAAAAACGGTCGGAGTGGCTCGGGTAACTTGCTCGAAAAAAACTACATCATTGGTCTTCCATTTGAAGGCGTTAATCCAGAGACTAAAATATGGCAACAAGTAAATGACATCAGAGAGAGTAGCTTGACTTTGCTTGACTTTTCAGTAATAAATAATAGTCATAATCAATAGTTCAACATATTTCTTTTGGGAACAGGCGAGAAGTGGAAGAAATGGACTGGACGACAATTACGTTGTGGGATCCACGTATCTGCAAGGCACTGTCTTTTTGTTTTTTCTTTTCCTCAGGAAATTTCAAGAAAATTGCCACTGGAGGACACTAACACCGAGCGATTATTTGAATGATGAAAATTCAATATGGCTTTGGTCCTTCCTTCTTATCGAAAAGTAACAAACAATTGCAAGCTTGACAAGCTTGCTTCCCGTTTAATTTAGTATTGACGTCAACATCAGGGACCTTAAGCAGTCAGGATGGCAACGCCTAGGAAGACTTCGATTAAAAAAATGAATTTCTGCCTTTAATTAAATTTAAAAAATGGCTGCATGTGTTTACCGTCTCATACGGCGCCACACCTCTACTTCAGCATAACGTATAAGAGAAGCCTTGAGTTCCAAATGGAAATTAAAATAATTTGCCGTCGCGGTTTCGGTTCGCAGAGGACGCAAGTTGTGGTGATTTCACGTTGTTGTTTTGTATAGGACGGCTAGGAAATGTACAAAGTTTTAAAACGCACGTGCTGAGCTATTGTTCTGCCAATTAGGTCTTTTGTTTTTCCATGTCCTCGTTGCCGTCGCCGTCGCAAATTTCCCTTTCGTAAACGGTCGTTGCCATTTGAAACGGTCGATGCCATTTCTCAGAACAGTCGTTGCCATTTGAAACGGTCGATGCCATTTCTAAAACTAGCCGAGCAGACGACAGCCCTCGTGAATAGCTCGTACGCTGTTGGCACGCTCGGACGTCACGTTGTTTATAAGATGGTGGAGCAATCCACGTGCGCGAGAGTTGAGCCAGCTGAAACAGAACGAACCCATTCTTCTTGTGCAGAAACAAAACAAAAATCAATTAAGAAGCCAACGGGGTGGAACTCCTTTATGCAGTCAGTTGCGGTGAGTTTGTTTTGTATTTCCCGAAATATTCAATCATTTTCAGCCTGGATAAAGTGCTTGTTCAAATAGTCTAAAACATGTTGTTTCCCTTACATCCTTTACATCCTTTACATCCGATTACAAGTGATTAAGATTAAGTGATCAGAAATATCAGTGAAAAATAAACCGCATCTAAAATTTTCGTTTATGTCATTAACAAATATCTTATCTGTAAGTGTTGCACTTGTATTCATTACTCTTGTAGGCCTTGAAATTACATTCGATATAAGCTGATATAGTTTCCTCGTACTTTGTATCATTCCACAGCCAGATTTCAAGGAACAACTTGGAAAGGGGGCGGGAATCGGGCAGGTTTCCAAAGTGGTTGGCAATACGTGGAAGAAATTGCCGACAGACAGACGAAAGGTTAGTTATAAACTTCTAACATTGCGAATGTTTGTGTATTAACCCTGCCCCATTTCAGTGGACTGCTGTGTGGTTTATGTGGCTAACTTTGTAAGGACCGAGAGTGTAAATGTTCTCGTCTAACTTTCCAATTAAAAGTATTTTAGATTATGAATGTTGATCTTGAATCAAGCTGGGACCTCGAGCTTAATGTCAATTTTGTAATATAATGTTCAGACTTGTTATTTTTCCAGACAGAACTCTTAAATATACCTAGGGGATAGCAAGGCCCATTATAATGTACCAATTAATTTAACCTAAATTTTAATTAGAAATAACCTACATGTGGCGGATCCAGGTTTTGAGGAAAGGGGGGGGAGGTAAGGGGGTATTATCCTCAAAAAATTATGATAGAGGGTGAAAAAAACTGTCTTTGCAATCTAGTTTATATAAAAAATAGGGGGGATCAAAAATACATGGTTGTTCCCTAATATATTTCCCCCCTTTTAAAATATCATGCTATGATCTTCATAGGACGGAAAAGATAAAGCACAGAGCTTGAGGGAAGACCTTGATATGGGAATAGCAGAGATAAAAAAATGTCCAACCTGCAGCACCCAGTTCACAAGGGAGAAGGACTTCAAATACCACCAGAAAGGTTGTCATGAGTGCATTTGCGAGGAATGCAATGAATCGTTTGACCATGAGCAAAAGCTAAAGAGGCATAAAGACAAGAAACATAAAGACAGCAACAAGTGTGATCATTGTCAAAAGACTTTTCCAGGGAAACGAAATCTTCTAAGACACCAAAAGTCACATGTTTAATTAACCTATCCTGCATTTAGTGATTTTAACTGGAGATGATTTGAAAGGACTATTGGATCAATCTATAATACAAAATTGTTTTTGTTTTTAAATTATTATTATCGATTTTTGAAATTAATTGTGGTCATTGCAGCACATGTACATCATGTTACTGTTCAAACCAAATTTTATATCATTACAATGTTGTGTTAGACTGTAACAAGAAAGAATGAATTAAAACTTATTTACAATTTCAAACCTTCAATCTTTTCAAAGTTTTACGTTTGTACAGCTTAATCTTCAGAAGATAGACCCCCCCCACTTTTTGGGTGAAATAACTGGAGGCCCAGGCCTTAATTTACCGAGTATTAGTTAGCGCCCCATGTGAATCAATGGCTGAACTTTGCTTATAATTTTCCTCAATCAGAATATCAGCAAACAAACCTTCATACCCTCAAGGTTTCACTTGAACAAAAATATAATCAAATTATAAGTGTTTGAAATTGGCTAGAGTACTGTACGGTTGTATGGCATCGTACCAATTATCTGAACCCATGGAAGAATCCATAAGTTCTGGCACATGTACATCATGTTACTGTTCAAACCAAATTTTAAATCATTACAAATGTTGTGTTAGACTTTAACAGGAAAGAATGAATTAAAACTTATTTACAATGTCAAAACCTCAATCTTTTTACTTCTTTTAGTGTTTGTTTGTACTGCTTTAGCCAAGTCATGGGTGCGCTTCCTCTTGGAGGTTGGTTCTTGTAGTTGTACTGGTCGCCCTTTTGATACAACCTGACGGCTTCCACTACCACACTTTCGTTTTCTGTTGGGCTGGACTCGGATCTTTTTTCCTTTTCCGGTTTTTTTCACCTCACTGGACCCGAAAGAAAAAAGAGCGCTTGCCAAATTAGAATGCATAGATCTAGCAGCGGTTAAGGATGTTACCCTTTTTGCGAACCTGATTACACCTTTAGCCAAATTAAGGTCTCTTGAGCTTTGGAGCTTTTGAATTATTTGTTCCCAAGAGTTTCTCAACAATTGTTCAGCGTTTGCAATGGAATCATCCTCATCATCATCATTGCTCTGTATTGGTTCAGTGGAATGTTCATCCTCAGCAGTTGAGCAGTTTGGCCCTTGTTGTGCTGTTTCCATACTAGTGGATGCCTCTGTTACAAAACCATTAGAACCATCAGTTTGTGATGTTTGTCCAGCATCACTAGAGCGTAATGGCTTATAACAAGCAACAGGAAGTGTCTTTCCTATAGCTAGCCAGGCCATCAGTTTGTGATGTTTGTCCAGCATCACTAGAGCGTAATGGCTTATAACAAGCAACAGGAAGTGTCTTTCCTATTGCTAGCCAGGCCAATTTCTGCCTCTCATGTAGATTACTGACTGGAATGAAGTTTATGCAGTCTACTAGATTTGCCACCCACAGGACATACTGGTGTTTGCATGGGCTCCCGTTTTTACCAACCGTGCAGGTACATATCCCAAGAGTCATGTCCACTGTATAACTGACAAAGAACCAATGAGACAATTCATAAATATCTCAATACAACTGGAATTTTTGTTTTTTCAATCTGTAATAGATACATTCTAGACCTTCAACTGGTTGATCCACTAAGATATTAATGGAAATATTCCTAACAGCAGAGTAAGGACTTGCTCTTACTCTGCTATAAAAAACTCAATACCCTGCCAAGAAGGGAAATTACTAAAGGTACCCCACCCACTGGACAATATATTACTCATGTTTTGGTCTTCCTTATGCTAAATCAACATCCTTGGAATGCAGCATATGGATGAACTGCAGGAATTACATGTATCTCATATATTATGCATGTTATGTCCCAATGTTTTATGTATTTTTGCTCCAAAGGGGAGTAGCCTAGAAACACTGCCCCCTCCCCCCCTGCACTGCTTCCCCTATCAAGATAATTTGAATCAGACAATGGGGGAAAGATAGGAAAATAATGCCCACCCACACATGTCCTCTTGTACCATCAGAGCATTATGCTATTGTGACTGCAAAGAAAAAAACACTACTGACCTGTGACTGCTATCTGAAGAGCTTCCAACTTTGAATACATTATTGCCAAAGTTCTCTACAGTTGAGAGGTAGGCATCAAGATCTTTTTTATCGGGGACTTTAAACCCTGTGCTTCGGTCTGTCCCTTTGCCAAAGAGTCGATGTCTGTACACGCCATCAAAACTCCCATCTTGTAGTGATCTTCTAGATCAATAGTCAGCTTGTCTAGAAGCCCAACAACATTGTACTCTTTGGTGCGCTGCAGAATTACATCCTTAAGAACCAAAAACTGAGCCTCAGCAAAATTGTTGGTGTGGTTACCTCTAACAGGCAGTTCAGTTCGAAAGCATAGAGCAAAAGATTCTTTGTCATTGTATAGATTTTGCAAATAGCTGACTAGATTTGGGTATTTCTTGCAACGGCCATCATTCAAAAGTTCACTGAAGCAGTTCTCAAAATCTTGTTTTGTCTCGGCATATAAGGACCTCTTGAAAAGGGTGAGAAAATAAGGTCTATCTGCTTGGCTGATGCTGTTCTTGCTCTCGTGAAGCCATCTCCAAAGTTGTTGGAGCATGTGGAAGATGCAAAGAAGTAAAACAGATGTTGGCCAAACAGACTTCAGAGCATTTCTTTCCTCTTTGCAGTTGTCTGTAAGGATGACTTGGGGCCTTGTTCCCGACCACGATCATTGAATGCATACTCTGGTAAACAGGACCGAAGCATTTCAAAGCCCTGTTTAAGTGTATGCTCCTGCTCATCACTGGTGATCAAGATGCCAAGTGGAAGTGCTCCAGATACATTGTTTGTGCACATTAAAAACACTTTAAGATTGTGCTCTTCTGTATTAGAAGTAGCATCAACAAAAACCATCTCACCAGACTGCTGCACTTCCTTGTGTACACGGTTCATGAGAGGCGTTACAATAGCAATTATAAGAGGCGTATTATCACCTTCATATATCTGGTAACAAGTAGTAGCTTCAGGGTTGTCTTTCTTGTATTGTTCAAGCCTTTCGGCAAGTCTTTCAAACATCATAACGCCCTGTCCACCATACCTATCCTTACCAAATTGCGTGTAGAGGTAACTAAAGTCCCTTTTTCTTGGCATAACTGCCCTATTGGCCTTTTTCCTGTGAAATTCTAATTCACCCTGACATGATTCTTTGAGTTCTTTCAAGTACTGTTGCCTTGCGGTTGCTGGTGTATGCCCACTTTCAAACAGCTTCAAAACCCCTTCTGTGCACTCAGGAGAAAGGTCGCGGAAATTAGAGGTCTCCAGAGTTTCAAGTGAATGGTTGTGGTCCCACTCTATGTCCACAGAACAACATCCCTCGCTGTCTATTTTGACTATCATCTGAAAGGGGTAATTGGTGTTCTTTACTCTGGCAGATGGATTCAAGTACAATTTCTGCTATGGATCTTTACTTGGACTCCAGTTGCGAGTGTTGTGTTGGCATCTATAGTAGTTTTGCAACACATAGCCGCTTGTTGGTGCCTTCTTTGTCTTTAACTTCAGTGAGATGCTTTCGTTATATCTTCGGTCAAAAAGTGCACTTTGAACTTTTCTCCATTTCCTGAAATTACCTTCAGGTAGTAAAATGAATCATCTGGAAGCAAAGCCAGAAAACTCTCTTTTGTAATTTGGGTCGATTCAAAAGATTTTCTTTTCGATTCAACTTCTTTTATAGCTGAAGATATTAGATCTTTGAGAAAATTGTCGGGTTTGTCCGCCATTTTGATTTGATAAAAATCGCGATGGTTTGTGGGAAAGCTAGTCACGCATTGCTCTAATTGTCACGCATGTCGTCGGAGAGAGTCGGAAATATCGGTTCCTTCTTGGCATCGACCTTTACGATGGCATCGACTGTCATGAGAAATGACATCAACCGTTTTCAATGGCAACGAACATTCCAAGAAATGGCGTCGACCGTTTCAAATGGCAACGACCGTTTACGAAAGGGAAATTTGCGTCGCCGTCGTGGTTTGCTTAAGGTCCCTATTATCTGATTTCTCCAAATTCGGGGAAATTTCATTTTCCAAGGCTACACGGTCAAAGCCAAACAAGTCGCTTTTGAGAATTATGGGCTCACCGTCGTAGTACGAGGGTCTTAATGGGGTGATGGCTTTTACGGCTAGCGGTTAAAATTCTGCGTATTTTACGACTAATGGTTAACATCATTCCATGCATGAGTTGTTACCAGAAATTTTTTTTTGAGGTTAATTTTGTTCGCGACTAACAGTTAAAATTACAAAATTTTTACGCTTAACAGTTAAATTTTTTTGGCCGTTTTATGGCTCACGGTTAACCTTCTTAATACCCTCAATCAAACACTGTTACGGCCAATTTTTGATTTGAAAAAATTAAAACTGTGATCAAAAGTATTTAACAAAACTACTGAGAATAGCAACTTGATCAAGTGATTGTGGAAACCATCAGTTTCTTAAATTAAAAAATGCTCAACAATCTTAGCTAATGAGGTTGAAATATACTGAGATATATTGTATAACACCATTACGGTTTGAAGAAAGCAATTTTACGGTGAGGATATGAAGCATCCGTTCGACGCAAAAGTATGCTTATACTATGTAAGCAATAACTGGATTTAAGAAAGTTTCAATTTCTCTAGGAAAATTAAAACATCTCTCTTCATGAGCGTGCGGCGTCATTACTTATCTTCTTATGCGAGACAACAAAGCGGATTACGGCGTTTAGAAAAATTTTTACCGCAGAACCCGCCGCTAGTATCCAAAAATTTAGTGAATAGTATCTCGACCATGAAACGCTTGTGTACAAGTAGAAAACGGAAATTCAATTTGAATCAACCGCGATCTCCGAATCGATAAACGATAAACCCTCCTAAAACAAAGTTAAGTTAATAGCTAGTGCAGATCATAGCCACTGGAAAGCCACGTAATGAAGTACTGCGGATTTCCTATGATATCAGCGTGGGACAGTCTACACCACAAATAGAGGTTTGAATTTAGAT